CCAAAGGAAGTGCGCGGCCGTGCGTGGGCCGCGCTCCTCGGCAACAAGCTCCAGATCAACGAACAGCTCTTTGAGATCTGCAAGACGCGCGCCAAAGCGGTGCTCGTCGAAGTCGCAGCGACCAAGGCGAAGGACATGCGTCCGAACCGCCCGTCGCTCACGATCGACACGTCCGGGCTCGACGGCGGATTCGTCGTCGTGACGTCGCCCCAGCACGCCAAGTCGACGCTCACCGAGGCCCTCATCGCCGACAACGAGCGCAACATCAAGCTCGTCAAGCTCGACATGCCGCGTACGTTTGGGAGCCACCCACAGTTCCAGGCCGGCGCGGTCGGGGCCCAAAAGACGTACGAAGTTCTGGAGGCGTACACGTGCTACCGCCCCGACCTCGGCTACGTGCAAGGTACGTACGCCTTGCTTGTTTAAAAGCGCAATGAAGCGAGCGTCGCACAGGCATGAGCTACTTGGCGGCGATTCTGTGTCTCCACATGGACAGCTTCTCCGCGTTCAAGGCCATGGTGTCGCTCCTCAGCACGCGCTTGCTCTTCGACATGTACCGCCTCGAGGAAGATCGGGTAAGGTCGTGGTTGATACAATCTTGATACTACAGTCGGGCTAGACACTGCATTATCTCGGCGTGTACGACACGATTCTGCAGCACGAACTGCCGACGCTCCACGCGTACTTTGAAGAGATTGGCATGGACGCCAAGATGTACGTCGTCGACTGGTGCGTGCGTCTCATGCTTCGACGACGGCGATACGATCTGCGAGGATGCACTAGGGCCTTTACGCTCTTCACGCGCTGCGTGCCCTTGGATGTCGTGCTGCGGATATGGGACGTCTACATCTTGCTCGGCACGCCCTTCTTCTTCCAAGCCTGCATGGGTACGCTCCCGCGCTGGCTCACGGACCATATCAACTGTGTGTGGTAGCGATTTTGATCTTGTACGAGGAGCACTTGCTCGTGCTCGACCTGGGCGACGCCATGCGCTTCCTCCACGACATTCCCAAGGTGCGATTCTCATCGGAGCCTCTCGTCATGCTGGCGTAGAGCACGAGCCCGAGCGACTTTTTCGATGCGCTCGACGCCGTCAACCTCTCGTGCAGCGCGATCGACAGCCTCCTCGCCGGCGGGAACGTGCGCCCGTGGTCGCCGGTCGGTCGGCGTCCCGTCTCTGTCGAGTTCCCCGACGCGTACGAGTACTAGAGACTAAAGGTGTAACCAAGAGGGCGAAATAGTATAGACACGGTAGAATCCCAAGAATCCGGGCGGCCTCGTTTACGCGTAGTACTGCAGCGTCGCCTTCTTCTTGGCCGACACGACACCAATGCCCTCCATAAAGTCTTCGTGCTACAGACCACACATTAGAATCGCTAGGCTTCTCGATCGTACCTTGATGATCGTGGCCTCCCGACGCAGCGCAAGCATACCAGCCTCGACGCAGACCTGGCACCATGCAATGAATCCAATGAGATCGTGGGTTGGAGGCATACCGCCTTGAGCTGCGCGCCGTTAAAGTCGTCCGTGCAGCGTGCGAGCTCGTCAAAGTTGACGTCGTCCGTGTCGACGTTCATCTTGCGCGAATGGATCTGCAGGATACGCGCACGGGCTTCTTCTGTCGGGTGGGGCAGCTCAATCTACATGCACATCGCCATCAATCGCCCTGCTCCATGCTTCAGGGCGCGGTGTACCTTGCGATCCAAACGACCCGAACGCAGGAGCGCCGGGTCGAGCACGTCCGGTCGGTTCGTGGCAGCAATGACCTTGATCTTCGTGTTGCTAGTAAAACCGTCGAGCTGGTTCAAGAGCTCGAGCATCGTGCGCTGGACTTCACGGTCGCCCGACTGCTCGCCACCAAAACGCTTTGTACCAATGGCATCCAACTACGCGCTTCCATGAGCACGAAGTCCCTTCCACCTGCAACGATACGCGTGTACCTCATCGATAAAGATGATGGCGCCGCCCTTGTCCTTATCTTTGCACTTCTCCTTGGCGAGCTCAAAGGCGTCGCGGACGAGCTATAGGAAGGACATGGTTTGACGATGCAGCAGCATAGGCATCGTACTTTGGCACCGTCACCGATAAACATCTGGACGAGCTGCGGGGCCGCGAGCTTGAGGAAAATGGCATCCGTCTGCTTGGCACAAGCACGTGCGAGCAGCGTCTTGCCCGTACCCGGCGGGCCATGGAGCAAGACGCCCTTGGGCGGCGTGATGCCGATGGCGTCGAAGCGCTCCTTGTGCGTCATGGGCAGCACAACGGCTTCGACGAGTTCTTGGATCTGCTTGTCGAGGCCACCAATGTCGCTGTAGTCTTCCGTGGGCTTCTCGTCCACCTCCATGGCCTTGACGCGCGAGTCGTACTCGGCGGGCAGCTTCTCCAAGATGAGGTAGCTCTCCTTGTTCGTGCCCACGAGGTCGTTGGGCACGAGCTTCTCCGTGTCGACGAGGCCCGGAATGCTCAAGAAGATGGTTTGGCGCGTCGACGTCTTGATGACCGCGCTCTTGCCCTTGCGCGCCGCGTCCGTGTCGGTGGCCGCGCCGTCCTGCTCGTCGTCCTCGTTCTCCATCTCGAGGATCTCGACGACGTTGCCGACGAGGTACGGCAGCTGCTTGTTGAGCTTGACCTTCTCGTTGTTCTCCTTGATGCGCTCGCGCTGGCTCGCGCTCTCGTGGTTGATGCGCGTGATGTCCGAGCGCATGATGCGGATCTCGTTGTCGAGGAGGCGGACGCGCTGCTTGAGCTCGTCGTTGGTCATGCTCAGGATCTCGGGCTCGATCTCGCCCCAGATGTCGCCTCCTTCGAGGCCCATCGACTCGTTCCCGCTGCTGCTCATGCTGCTTCCTGCTTCCGCCAGCCGCAAATGAACCTTCACCCCTTGTTTCCGTAGATCCGAAAACGCACCTTGCGGTACAAGCACTTTTCGATAGAAGAACAGACTATACTCACGCAACTTTTGGCCCCAAATGTTGTGTTACGGTTATCACGTGTGCTGGTTGTCTTCGTCGGCTTCGTCGGCGACTTCGGCGATGCGTGCGAGCGACAGCGCGGCCTGGACCTGCGCAAGGGGATGTAACAATAGATGTTCATGTTCAAGTATACCGTGTGGATCGCGGCTTTGAAGCTCCGCCGGGCGTTAAATTGACGCAACTCAGCCTTGGCGTTCACCAACGAGGTCGTTGCCACCTATGGAAACACCTTGGAATACGAGATATGGCAGCTGCGGCGTACGCTCAAGGTCGTCATCCACGGGTCGCGGAGCAGCGCGTCGGCCGTGGGGCTACGCGGTATGAGCATCTCGCAAGCACCAGGATGCTTTCTACCGCTGCTGGGGGTCGACGACGAGCATGCGGGCAACAAACGCCTGCGCCGACGGCGAGACAGCGTCCCAGTCGGCGTCGCTGAAGCGGACGTCGCCCTTGCTGATCTCTTTGTAGAGGTTCCACTCGGTGTGGTTGTAAAAGGGCAGGTAGCCGCAGAGAATGGTGTACGCAATGACGCCGATCGCCCAGACGTCAATGGCTTTCGTGTATACCGCGTTCTCGTACGAGATGAGGCTCTTGGCGACCTCGGGTGCGATGAACGTCGGGAGGCCGCAGGGCACGGAGAAGCCATCGACGCCTTCTTCTTGCGCCAAGCCAAACGACGTGAGCTTGAGTGTCGCGTCCTTGGCCTTGCTCGTGAAAAGCACGTTCTGCGGGCTCAGGTCGCAGTGCGCGATGCCATGCGCGTGGCAGTGGGCCACGGCTTCGAGGAGCGTCCGGATCACGTCGCGCGCCTCCTTCTCCGTGTAAATCTCCTATGATTCACAATCGACTATGGATTAGCCGACCGTCGTCGTCAGTATCGTCACCTTCTTGACGATGCGCTCAAAGAGGTCGTCGCCCTCGATGAGGTCAGTGACCACATACACTTCGTATGTGTCGTAGAGGAAGTCGTGGAGGCCAAAGACGTTGGCGTGGCCCGCGAGCTTGCGCAAGACCGAGGTTTCCTTCCGAAGCTCCTTCATGTCGGCCTTGGAGAGCTTTGTCCGGTCGAAGCGCTTGACCATGACGACGGTGCCGGAGCTGCGCTCGGTGGCGCGTCGCACGGCGGATGAGCGGCCTGGCACGACGTCGCCCATCTCGTACTTGGCGGCGAAGGCCAAGTCGGCGCGCGGAAGGTCCTTGACGGCCACGCCGGCGTACTGCTCGCCATCGCCAGCTGCGCTCATCATGCCCCGCGTCGTCGTGGTGTCTCCTCGAATTCTGCCCATCTGCAAACCACCGCCGGCGTCTCATTGGTGGTATTTTAGCCAATCGTGCGTCGCCGGTTGAGACAGCACCGTCGACTCTCTTTGGTGATTTGGGGGTCGTCGTTCATCAACACAAATCGAGTCGCGATTGAGTAAATCTGCTCTCTGGTATGAATCGGGTGCTAACGCAGAGGTTAAAAAGGTTGAAAAGCATCTTCAAAGGCGAAAGCCGTGCTCTCCATGCCTAAAATTAATTTTGCTTTACCAACGTACTAGTACACTGTACGTTGGCCAAACAAGGCTCTCAAACTGCTCAAGTGGGTAGCTTACATGACCAACGCATTACGTGTGCGAGAGCAGAGGTACACGATCTCACTGGCGGGTCTGTGGTTCGACCCCATGCGTTTCGAATCTTGAAAAGTGACTGCGTTGAAACATAAATGTACGTCCAGGGCATCTACAACAAAATTCGGAGGTGGATGCATCGACCAATGTTGTCTTCTGGGAAGGTCCACGCAGCGTGGCTCTTCTTCTCGAGCTCGCGTGCCTTATATTCCCTACTCTTTTCGTGTCAATCTCTATCGACGAGTGAACGAGGTACTACGGTTATATAGTAGCGCACCGATATATTTGAAAGTCTCTGTTTGTGCCACTGGTTGAGATGGCGGTGTCGAGTGGTGGGCGCTGACGTGTCATGGTTGCGCGACGGGCACCATGCCCGCGAGAAAAGTATCTTTCTTGCATTTGGATTGGTCAATATTGGATTGTTTCAACCAATCCGACGGGGCATGCCAATCCCGATACAAATCTCGACTTGCGAAATCCAAGGTCAAGGATGATGATGGACGAGTACATCATCGGACGCGTGCTCTACGAGGAGCCGCATGGAGCCGTGCACAAGGTCCTCCATCGGCCGCAAGGAAGGTTCTTCTCCATGAGGGTGCTCGACAAGGAGCGCATGAGCTTCGAGGACGAGATCGAGATGCAGAACGAGCTCGAGGTGCTCAAGGTCCTGCACCATCCCCACCTCCTCAACGTCCACGCCATCTTCGCCGAGGGCAGCCAAATCTACATCGTGTGCGACCTCGTCGAAGGCGGCGACGTCTTCGATCGGCTCGTCGCCAAGGTCTGCTTGCGCATGCATGGCCTCGCCTCATGCATGGCGAGTAGGAAAGCTACACGGAGCGCGAAGCCCGCGACTTGATCAAGACGCTTCTCGAAACCATCGCGTACTGCCATGATCAAGGCGTTGTGCACCGCAACCTCAAGGTACACCCACCTTCATGTGGTCGCCCTCAGACGGTGCATGCAGCCCGAGAGCATCAAGCTCACGAGCGTCCACGACAACACGAATATCAAGCTCACCGACTTTAGCTTCGCTGCGTCGGTACACGAAGAGCACACAAGCATCTGCGGGGCACCAGAGTACGCATCATGTACCAGCGGCTCGTGGACTCACACCGACGGTAGCTACGTCGCGCCCGAGATCCTAGCAAACAGCTATTCGCACTCTCCTTACGGGGCACCTGTCGACGTGTGGGCGATTGGCGTCATAACGTTCGTGCTGCTCTCGGGTTTCCTTCCGTTCTACGGGGACGACCAAGACGCAATCTTTGCGAGCATCACCCGCGGGCAGTTTGAGTTTGACGGCAGCGACTGGGCCTCCATCTCTGCGCAGGCCAAGGACTGCATCACGCAAATGCTCATTCATGACCCGAAGCAACGCCCCACGGCGCGCGAGCTACTTTCCCATCCCTGGATGACGAGCACACAGGCACGTGTACAGACTCTCACCGCCGAGTCTGACATGTGATGTATGAAGGTCGCGTCCAAGCCCCTGCGAGGTGCCCAGGAGGAGCTCCGACGCCTCAATCTGCAGCGGAAATTCCGGGCTGCCGTCTTGACCGTGTCGGCCACGGTCGCCCTTCAACGCGCGTTCTGTGCGGCACCCGTAGCACCAGTGCGACCCACGCTGCGGCGACAGGGCTCTGTCGCTGTCCCATATGTCGCCGAGCCCGAGTCTGCGAGCGCCGCCCTTCTCAAAAACTATGCCATCAGCACCAATGTGCTGAGCGAGGGCAAGGCCTTGGTCGTCCGCGAGGCCGTCGAAGTCGCGACGGGCCATCGCTACGCCGTCAAGTTTTACGAGAAAGACCTGATGACGTTCGAGGACGAGATCGACCTCAACCGCCAAGTGTCGGTGCTGCAGAGTATCGCACACCCCAACGTCGAGTGTCTGCACCACTACTACGCGGAGAGCGACCACTACTGCCTCGTCACCGACCTCCCAGCGGGCGGCGACCTCTTTGAGCGCATTGTAGCCAAGGTATGCATGCTCTCTTGCTTGGTATCTAACATATCGCGCTAGGACAATGGGTACTCGGAGCGCGATGCACGCGCCCTGGTGCGCGAGCTCTTGCACGGCGTCGCCCACCTCCATGCCCAAGGCGTGGTCCATCGCAACATCAAGGTACTTTTCCTTGGAGACGGGACGTGCGCACCTGTTTTGTAGCCCGAAAGCATCTTTTTGCGGTCGCAAGATGACGACATTGCCATGGTCTTGACCAACTTTGGGTTTGCAACGCAGGACGACGGACGACTGACATACATCTGCGGCTCGTTGGAGTACGAACTCTTTTGTAGAGAGAAGAGGCCTCAAGATGCTCTAGCTACACGGCCCCTGAGGTCCTCGCCAACCGCCGACGCGCGACCCCCTACGGACCTCCGGTGGATGTATGGTCCATTGGCGTGCTCACGTACGTGCTTTTGAGCGGGTACCTTCCGTTCTATGGCAACGACCCGCCGAGTCTCGAGGCCTCCATCACGCGCGGCACCTTTGTCTTTGACTCGCCGTACTGGGACGGAGTCACGGACGACGCCAAGCGGATCATTTCAGCCATGCTCGTCGCCGACCCCGCCCATCGGTGCAGTCTACTGGAGCGAACACATAGCTAACACCCGCGAGCAGGGCCACGGCAGCACAACTACTCGAACACCCGTGGTTTCACGCGAACCACGTACGACGTCCTGACCTACAACTCGCAATGGAGTCCTGCGATGTGTAGGTCGCCGCGACGCCGTTAACCGCGGCCAAGGACGAGCTACGCCGCGTTCTGCTCAAGCGCAAGTTCCGCTGCGTCGTAAGGACGGTCAAAGCGGCGATGACGCTGGCGCGTCTCGCCAAGTCATCTTCGACGACGAGCGCCAGCTTCCACGCCAAGTACGTTCTTTACGAGCGCATCGGCCAGGACGGCGTCGGCGTCCTCCATCGCGCCTCGACGATCGAGGCGTCGTCGCCCGTCCACGTCGTTTACTACGATACGCGTCGGCTCTCGGCAGAAGTGGTCGCGGGGGTCACGCGCGAAGTGCAAGTGCTTCGGCGCCTCGACCATCCCCACACGATCAAGGTGCTCGACTACTACGACGCCGAGCCCGACGGTCTCTACCTCGTGCTCACGGCGGTGACCGGCGACCAGCTCTTTGACCGGATCGTCGACAAGGTACGTACTCGCCTTGACGGTAGAAGCGGAATCACATGGTGCGTAGGACTGCTACTCGGAGGCGGAGGCGCGCGCGCTGGTCAAGGTGCTGTTAGACGCTGTTTTGCACTGCCATGCGGCGGGCGTTGTGCACTCGAATCTCAAGGTGCACGCATCTTTGTGGCTTGAGAGACGACCGAAATCGACATATGTAGCCGGAAACAATTGTACTCACAAAGCCCGACGACGATACGTGGCTTGTGCTCACTCGGTTCGGCCGCCCGCACGGCCGCGCCCTCGAGTACGTACTCTTGCGTACTTACCAACGCTGGACGAACCGTAGATACGTCGCCCCCGAGTCCCTCTTCCGTGTCGTGCAAAGTGTCGGCGACGCCAAGTCTTTTGAGGAGGCGCCTGTCGACATTTGGAGCATCGGCGTCATCACCTACGTCTTGCTCTGCGGCTACCTCCCCTTCCACGGCGCCAACCAGTTCCACCTCTTTAAAGCCATCAAGCGCGGCAAGGTTCTCTTCGACGCGCCGTACTGGAGCACGATCTCGACGAACGCGACCAGCTTCATTTCCGCTGCGCTCGTTGTCGATCCTGCCAAGCGGTGCGCATGTCTTCCATCGATATGCCAACGCCGTCCACATGTGTAGGGCGACGATCGGCGACCTGCTGGCGCACCCGTGGATGCGTGCATCGCAGGTGCCGACGACGTCACTCGACGTTGGCTCAGAGCTGCGCCGGCTCCAAGCTCGTCGCAAGCTTAAGGGCGTCATGTCGGCGGTATGGCCTCTCTTGTGTGGTCGGCGTTCTCAAACACGTCTTCGGTAGGTCAAGGCGTCGGTAGGACTCGGCCGTCTCTTCGACTCGACGCCCGTCGCGTCCGCGTAAGATAGCAACAACTCGAGACAAACAGCGTAATAGCATTGGTCATATCCAGTCGTCGTCGCCCGCCGAGAGACGGGGCATAGCTTCGACCGGCTTTGTGGGCTCCGTTTTGGGCGGAGGCAACTCGGCTGGCGGCGGCACAGTCTGGATGAACGATTGGAACGCGTCGTCGTCTCCGCTGTCGTCGCTGTCTTTCATCGGGGGCACATGTGGTGTCCCACTGGCACTCTTGGCCGCCGGCGATGTCAGACTACCGTTCAAGCCCCGTCGGGACCCTTCGCTGCTGACAAAGCTGCTACTGAGGCCGCTCGGCCGGTGCATCGAGACGGCAATCTTGACCTAGAGCAAAAACTGGCATCACGACGTCCGAGGCAGACACATACGGAAGAGATGGCGCGTTTGATCGTATCCCGCGCGTTGAACTTGCGCAGCTCCGTGAGGGCCTGGAGCAACGACGGGTTGCTTTGCTCCTACAAGCAGCATAAAGCGTATTGTCGACGGTGCTGGCAGTCACCGTGGTCGACCCCGCAAGCCATCGGTGCTGCAGCAGCTCGTCGGCCGTCGCGCTACGCAGCGATGAGCTCTAGCATACACGTGCACTAACCGTTGTGCCGGGTCGACGATCAGCATGCGCGAGATAAAGTGCTTGGCGTCCTCCGAGACGTGGCCCCAGTAGTACGGGTCGAAGTGGTAGTCGGCGGCCTTGATTTGGCGGTAGAGGTCTGCGAGGTTGGCCGCGTAGAACGGCGGCGACCCGGAGAGAAGCATGAACGTGATGACGCCGATGCTCCAGATGTCGCACTCCTTGCCGTACGCCGTCGTCTCCATATCAAGGACCTCGGGCGCCGTGTAGCTACGAGCGATTTGAGACCTCGCCTCAAGACAGTGGGAGCGCGAACATGGGGCTGCCGCAGCGCGTCGTCATGCTGCGACTGTTGTGGTGCGTGATGGCGAGGCCAAAGTCACCGAGCTTGATCGATGCATCGTCCGTCTTGCTCGTGAGGAGGATGTTCTCGGGCTAGAAGGGCGCGCGTGAGTGGCACTGGCACATGCAACACGGTCGACCTTGAGGTCGCGGTGCGCGATGCCACGTTCGTGACAGTACTTGATGGCCTGGAGGAGCGTCGTGATGACCTCCTTCGCGTCGTGCTGCGTGTAGTACGACTACAGTAGACGTGAGGTACCAGGATGCCATACGAGCCAAGTACCTTCTCAACGAGCCGCTCAAAGAGCTCGCCGCCTTCCATGAACTCTGTCACGAGGTAAAAGTACTCGTCGTCTTCGTAAATGTCGTAGAAGGTCAAGATGTTGGGGTGGTGCAGCTAGCAGGCGTTGGCGACGGCAGCAAGGCAGGCGTCGTACCTTCTTGAGCGTGTTGACCTCAAAGGCCATGGCCGTGTAGTCAACTTCGAGCATCTTGCGCTTCTCGACGCACTTGACGGCGTACTTGGCGCCGCTGGCCGTGTGCAGGACCTCGCGCACGACGGAGAAGGCGCCGCGCCCGAGCTCGCGCCCGAGCGTGTAGTGCGCCGCAAAGTCGGACGACGGCCCATGGAGCTTGACGGCCTTCGTCTCGGGATCCACCTCAATGTGCACGGCGTCGGCCTCGGACCCGTCCTCCTGCGCCATGATGAGCCTTCCGCCGCAGCAACCCATCGTACTCTGGCATAAATCCCACGATGGCAGCGCGGCTTCTTATTGGCCAAAAAAGATTCTTAGTGTCCCACTACAGTGCAGTGGGAGGAATACAAACTCCGAACGACCGACGCCGGTGCGAGGCCAGAGCTCGTCCAACGAGACTCTTCTTCTTCAGGCTCATGCTAGCTGCGTCTGCGCATGCTGGACGAAGGGTCACAGACGCTCGATCGATGGTCGCGCGACTTGGGCGAAGTACTGTAGAATTCAGCTCGATTTTCCACTGTATTTTTTCAAATTGAAGCAGGTGCCATGTGAAGTGACCAGTGAGTGGGCTTGCATGTTTTGAGGGCACTCGGGTGTGCGGAGAGGCTGGGAGGCGGCGGTGACGGTGCTTGGGGCGAGCGCAGCTAAGCTACTCGTTGGCGCTTGCATCGTTGGCCATTACACTATTTCTCGGCAAAGAGTTGCGTGTCGCCAGTGTCGACACAAGATACGCGCACGTGATTGGGTACGTGGTGTGGGATCGGCGTTGGGGATTGGCCGACGTCTTGGATTGTGGAGTCGTGGGAGGGAAAACCACGCGTTGATTGGCTAAAAAGGCGCAGACAACCCGCGACAATTCGAGATAATAATAAAATAGAATTTTGCATACAAATACCAAGATACTAGAATACAATCGCGCTCATTGACAGTGTATTGGATTCCATACATATTGCAGGTATAGCCACCACATTGCCTTTAGCACGACAACGGAGACCATGGGCGGAAGCAACTCGACGATGTGCTGCTGTGGCCGCGGCCCGCGCCCCACCGAGGACGAGGGCTCTGCTGCGCCCAAGTCCCGCGGCGTGCATGAGGCCACGGCCGCCGTCGACGGTCCGCTCGAGGACAGCGATAACCTCTCGACGCCGCCGCAGAGCCCGCGCATCGACGACGAGTCGCTCTCGCCGGCTATCCAGTCGCGCCCGTCGCTCGTCTCGTCGCATCACTTTGCCGACATTTACGCCCTCGACGTCGACCAAAAGCTCGGCGAAGGCGCGACTGCCATCGTGTATGTGGCCACGAACAAGCGCAACGGGAAGCGCGTCGCCGTCAAGTGCTTTGAGAAGGCCAAGATGGTGCAGAACGAGATCCGAGACCTCTTCATGGAGGTGGGCATCCTCAAGCTCATGAAGCACAAGAACGTGTTGCAGCTCCATGACTTTTTTGAAGAGCCCGCGCACTTCTTCATCGTCACGGACCTCCTCGAGGGCGGCGAGCTCTTTGACCGGATCGTCGAGAAGGAGTTTTACTCGGAGAAGGAGGCGCGCGACGTCATCAAGACGCTTCTGGAAGCGATCCAGTACCTCCACGACCTCAACGTCGTGCACCGCGACCTCAAGGTAGACCCTTCTTCCTCTCTCTTGCAGCGCCTCATCATGGCTGCCTGTGTAGCCCGAGAACATTTTGCTCACGTCGCATGGCGACGACACGTCCATCAAGATTGCTGACTTTGGCTTTGCCAAGCAGGACTTTGAAGGCAAGCTCACGGACAAGTGCGGGTCGCCCGAGTACGTCCTTCTCGACACCGTCGCGGTAGCTCATGATGGCATGTAGCTACATTGCGCCCGAGATCCTCGCGCGGTCCTTCTACGGCAAGCAGGTCGACGTATGGTCGGCCGGGATCATCACGTACATCCTCCTCTGCGGCTACCCGCCCTTCTCGGGCAAGAACAACACGGTGCTCTTCAACAACATCAAGGCCGGCCAGTTTGAGTTCGAGTCGCCGTACTGGGACGACGTGTCCTCGGAAGCCAAGGCCTTTGTCCGCCGCATGCTCGTGGTCGATCCGTCTGCGCGCGCGACCGTCGACATGCTCCTGAACGACGTCTGGATCACGGGCGACGTCTCGGCGACGCCGCTCAACGGTGTCATGGACGAGCTGCGCCGCTTCAACGCGCGCCGCAAGTTCAAGGCCGCCGTCAAGACCGTGCAGGCCACCGTGTCGCTCCTCAACAACGCCCGCGCTCGCTCCTCGTCGACGCCCATGACGCCGCCCGCCCGCGCCCCCACCGACGTCGTCGTCTAGTGTATCTACTTAGTCTAGCCCAATTTTGGTCAATAGAGCCTCTTTCATGCTTCCCTCTCGCCGTCCATGCTCATCTTGGCCGCGTTCATGCGTCTACGTGCCTTGGCATGCGCATGCATGCAAGGGTTGCATGGTGGGCAGGCAAGGAATTCACCAGCTGCGTCGGATTGTGTGGCAAGTGTTATAACACTCGACAGCACCGGACATATACAGGGGCACTTCCGCCCGGCGAATGCTCCGCGATGCTGGTCATCGCGTCTGCGGTCGATGGACACACCGCGCAAGATGTGGTCGTCTCGCTCGGCATTGCTATCGTGGCGGCATGCGGTGCACCTCTTGCCGCCTCGTGTTACGGCGGCGCGGGATAAAAGCGTTATAACATGGATGCGTCAGAGAGTATCGGTAAGGTCGAGATCGCAATTTCTTGTTCGTCTGAGCAAGCTATGGGCTGCGGCTTTTCCTGCGTCCGCCGGCCATCGGGCCTCGGCGACGACGACGGCGACAAGGACGTCGCCGACGTGGCTTCCGAGGTGGCCACGGAGGTCGAGCGCATGGACGACTCGAACGACGACCCGTCGCCCGGCTTCTTCCGCGAGCACTACACGCTCGGCGGCGTGCTCGGCGAAGGCAGCTACGCGATCGTCAAGAAGGCGCGGTCGCAGGCGACCGGGAAGCTCTGCGCCGTCAAGATCTTCAAGAAGGAGACGCTCTCGGCGCAGGACGACGCTGATATCCTCTCCGAAGTCCGCATCTTGCGCAAGCTCAACCACCGCAACGTGCTTCGCCTCGTGGACTTTTACTCGGAGCCCAAGTACTACTACCTCGTGACCGAGTACGTCGAGGGCGGCGAGCTCTTTGAGCGGATCGCGCTCATGGTAATACGCCTGCATCACGTCTCGTATGCAACGAACGCCGCCATGTAGGAGTACTACTCGGAGAAGGAGGCGCGCGACTTGGTCAAGACGCTCCTCGAAGCGATCGCGTACTGCCACAGCGTCGGCGTCGTCCATCGCGACCTCAAGCCCGAGAACATCCTCATGACGTCCAAGGCCGACAACTCGGCCATCAAGATCGCCGACTTTGGCTTCGCCAAGCAGGACACGAACGGCCTCTCGACGACGTGCGGATCGCCCGAGTACGTCGCGCCCGAGATCATCTCGCGCCCGGACGCCACGTACGGCAAGTCGGTCGACATTTGGTCGATTGGCGTCATCACGTACGTGCTGCTGGCGGGCTACACGCCTTTCCACGACCCGAACCAGAACCTTTTGTTTGACAATATTGTCAACGGTCGCTTTTACTTTTACGAACCGGACTGGAGCGAGGTGTCGCAGGACGCCAAGGACTTTGTCTCGCGCGCGCTCGAGCTCGATCCCAAGGTGCGGCCGACAGCGCTCGACCTGCTCCAGGACCCATGGATCGTCGGCCAACACGTCTCGGCGCGCAACCTCGTCAGCGTCATGGAGAAGCTGCCAGATTTCAACAAGTCCCGCCGCAAGTTCAAGGCCGCGGTAGTTCGATCCTCCACATGTCTTGACGTCTCACGGTCATCTAAAGTAGGTCCAAGCCACGATGCTCGTCAACCACCTGCGGGCGCGCGACTCGGACGCGTCAAAAGACGTTTAGCTTCACTTTAACTTCCTCTAACTCGTACTACCTCGTTTGCATCGCGGGTAGGGTTGCCGCGACAAGTGGCGTGGAATTAGCCACATCAAAACCACCTGATTACGTCAACCGAGTCTCGAATTCGATCGAAGCAGCAGCAGCATGCTCCGCCAACAGGTCGGTCGTCGGTCGAGCCATTGGCGCGTCGTCCAGCTGCAGAAGGCAGCGATGAGTACCGTGCAGATTGGTGGCATCTCGGTGCCCAAGGCCACGCCCAGCGTACGCTGCTTGCATCTACGACCTGCAGGACGACCATCAACCACCGTCGCCTCGATTAGGAGCCGCACTTGGTGCCCCGAGGCTTTGTGCC